GAGTAACTCTTCAGGTCACTGTAAATTCTTAGAGTGACTGCATCTTCAGTGCTGTGGATAGCTCTATTCTGCGTCTCAAAGTTACAGCATATATGTACCAAAAGCATTATATGTACCAAAAGATACTGGGGGTCTTCAGCCCAGAAAAACAGACAACTAAGGTCCATTAAAATTGATGGATGTCTATAAAGTCCAGCTGCACAGAGAAAGTAGACAGGCGCAATAAAATTTTGAGTGACTGGACCACGGCAAACACAGGAAGGCAAATTTTCATGCCGTGGAGTCTGAAAGTTAATTCTGGCAGAATGGGACAAATTCCACAAAGGATATAGAAAAACCCAAAAGCAGTGATATTAAATACAAGGATACTTTCTTTGTGTTAAACTGCGGAACGAGGGGAAGCATGATGGGAAACAAAATGCAGCTGCCTTTCCTAGCACTCTGTCTAGGTCTCATTCACCAATGTTTCCAGCAAGAGACAGAAACTAGTGCAGACATTTTTCCTAGTTGTAGGCAAATATAAATCTAGAAGCATGCTTACCCCTCTCACTCAGGTCTCAATAAAGACTTACTTATGCACTATTCAAGTATGTATTTCAATATAATTCCTTTCTGAAGGAGGGGAAAAAAATTTATAAACTCATTTTAATTCATTTTCCAAGTAGCACATGGTAGACTCGGTAGCTTCCAAGTATCTTACAATAAACTTGCCAACATGAAAAAGTCAAATTTTGATGTTTTCTTACGTACCTTTTTTAATACCTAATAATAAAGAATAGCAGGATGCACTGCAGAGCTGATATTTAGAGCTGTTTATCTGACAGTGATAGCAAGAAGCTGATGGCCACTCAGAAAATATTAGAACAGGAAGATGCAAAGACAGACAGACTGACATATTTGGCTAATCCCAAATATTTCAGTAATATTTTGTCAAGCTCAAAATACAAACAACAAAAGAGTAGTATTGATCTCTACTAACTTGTCTGGGTGTCACCACAGGAGCCAGATGTGCCTGGAACGTACTCCTTCGATCTGTAATTGGCTTTCCGTGATGTATGGGTGGCAGTTCTTCATCTACTGATCACAAATAAGGAAGCGTTTGTTTTCTTTTAAGAGTACCGAAAAGATGTATATGGCTACATAAGTAAAGAATGGCTCAACTTTAAAAAGAGGATTTGTTAAAGTGAGGTACACAAGATGATATACAGAACCATGAAAAATTATGTTGGTTTATTTTTTTTCTTAGAATTGTTTTTAATCCTTATTATAATTTTAATGTTACTAATTTTATTCAAAAGCTGCATAGAAAACCACAATCTTAAGGCCTCTCTCTTCTACATTATTCATCAGAGTTAACCGGGGCATATATTTTTACCTTCTTGACTTTCAGATGTAAGGTAATTTAACATTTTAATTGGATCCTCATGAATGGGCTGACAGTCTAGGACAAAATCATCTCCATCACCTTCATCAATTTCTTCACTGGTTTTCTTAATATCTGGTTCTATTAAGATAACAAGTAATAGAATTTATTATACATTTTTTGTGAGACAAGACAAAAATTTCAGATCCCTTTTCTCAAAATCTGACTTGTGAGCTCGAATCAGTTTGCCATTAAAAACACATATGAAACACAGAATAGCAACTTGATTACAACAAGCCCCAGAAATTCTGAATTTAGAGTCCAAAATAATCTGATGTTTCACAAGAACTCCAGTCACTTATTGGTCATCTGGAGAGAAATATAGAGCTGTTGTTCAATGCTGCTTTAGAGGGTATAAAATCATTATGTGTGAAATACCTCTCTGGACATGCTCCAAGCACTCTGTGATTCCCAAAATGCTATTTTCCTTCATGCACAGGACTGTTTAAGTAGCTAGTCGTAAATCTCTCATTGAACGCGACCAGATCCTTCAGTGTGGCCATGTTAGTTCATGAGCACGATTAGACTGAAGGTGCAGTGCACTATTAGTGCATCCGGAATCGTGATTATTCAATATATTGAATGCGATCGGACTGTTAGTGGTAAATTGGACATCACTCAGAATTTAAGCCTAGCCATACCCAGCCCCTCTAATATCTGAAGACCAGCTGGAACGCAAGGGGGTTTATTTTCTGCCAAATTCCCTTACATCTGAACGCAACAACAAAAAAAACAGTCCATAGCAAAAGAGTAAATATCACACAAAATCTGTGCTCTGGTGACTGGATTTATAGGAAATCTACCACACAGACAAGTTAATATATTGCAATCTGATTTCCTATTTAGAGTGCCTATGATGTGGTGTTGATGCAGTTTTTCTAACAGAGTTGTTTTCCATAAAAAACATAGGGGTGATATAGAATCATCAGATGTATTAAGTAGAAGCCACAAGGTTGTTGTCAAAATGCCCAACAAACTTTTAATACTGTCAGTAAAATTTACACTCCACTGCTTTAAGTCACATCAATGAAAAATTACTTTTTAAATGTCTGTGATGGAGCAACAAAATGCAGTTTATTGAAAAACAGACCTTATCATGAAGCAGAATTGATTTTTTCCTCCCTCTTCAGTCTCTTGTTCCTCACAGAACTGAGGTAACATCCATTACACACAAAAATACTTCTGTTTTCTTTTGCCACAAGTGCATGCATGCACAGCACTCATGCATTTCACAGCATCTTAATGCACACAAAAAAAAAAAAAAAAAATCCACCACTTTCTGAAAGAACAACTGTGAATTTACACAAACTAACTCCATCAGAAAAAGAGTAACAGCAGAAAAACTTGAATGATGATGTACTTCTCATCCCAATATAGTAAAATTCAATTAAGATAGAATACTTGGTCATTTGTCTGCATATTCCACTGAAGTTTATCTTCTCTTGAGGCTAATCCAAATCCTCCAAAAGTGCACTCGACAACAGAAATTACTGATATGAATAATTCCTTTGCAGAACAGAGGACAATGCATAATGTACCTGAGTGCAGCACTTTGCTTTCATCCAAGTAATTTAATACCCAAGACAACTAAGGACCTTGTTCTAGTTCACTGAGACCATCCCCTTTTTGTCCCTACTGCTTTCTAAAAAGGGAAGCTATCACTGTAAAACAACAAACCATGACACTGGAGACTGTTGTTTTCTGTTATTTAGATCCAATACAAAACTGGGCATAAAGCTTTAACTTGTAATGAAACCTTACTTTGCAGTTTAACAAGAAGTAAACTGAAAAAACCTATGTGTTTTCTGAAGTACCTGGATCTGATGACTGTGCCTTTTCAACCAGAACTTCCCGTATCTTCTCCACCCATAAATAAAGTATACTTTCACCGAGGTTCTGTCTGGAAGTTAAAACTCACAGTGAATGAAAATCATTTTTGCGGATTTCACTTGGAAAGAACACCAAAAAACATACATGTTTCAGACATGTAGAAATATAACATTATAATCTAGTGAGATATAGAGCTTAGGCTTGTGGAAAGTTCTGTCTCAGCAGTTCACTAGGTGAAACGCATAGTATCTGCATCATTATATACTTTTTATTCTTTTTTTTTTACATTAGAAGCATCAATGTTGAAGGAAAACGGGCAACTGACAGAAACTTTCTGTCCACTAAGAAAGGGAAAGGAAAAGGAATTGTGTAAAAAAAAAAAAAAAGATGGACAGTCCTCAGTATTCAAGCTAGGATGTGTAGCCTTAGATCTTGCTCTGGATCAGTTTTCTCTACTAAAAATACTGTATGCCAGTAGTGAGCTCCTTCAGCTGCTCTGTGGACTCCTTCCCCTCATGTTTGGGAGGGGGCTCTTCTTTGGAATAGCCCCCTCCCAAACTTCCTTTCATTTCTACTCTTACTCCTCCTCCCTCTCAAGCAGTCAGTGCACACACAGCAGAGTTGTTTTGTTGAAGTTGGACTATGACAGTAGGTCAGTGGCAGTAGACACACTGGAGCATTGGACTGATATGCTATAGCATGGGTAACAAGCAGTCCTATAGGACAGGGAGGTAAAGATTTAGGTCTAGGAGTCTCTAGTCAGAGGGCACAGTGTGTATTAAGGTCCTGAGGGAAGATGGGATGGACATATCTTTTATGTGCATATTCAGAGATAAGAAATGCTGCCTTAATGTGCAGCAGGACCGAAACATCTCAAAATATATTTAAAATGGTATGCAAACAACTCAAAATATGCTTAAAATGGTATCCTGAAAAGTTGTCTTCATATTTTAAAATGTTTATGAACTATGCATGTTTGTCTCAAAAAATTAAAGATTTAGGGCCGTAGGCAACTCTTGGTTTCTCATTAATTTTATTCTTACTGCCACCATCTGGGACAGCACACAAGTATATATCAGTGTGTCCTGGGTTCAGCTACAGCA